GCTGGAGAGGAAGGGGGAGCAGCCCAGTGATTGGGAAAGAGTAAGAGGGAGTAGAAGAGACTACCTTTCTGCATGGAATTTTCGGCTTGCTCTCTTCACTGCTCTTGTATTCTACACTTTTCGTTTCATTTTCAATTTGGCGCCAAAACAAATGACCATTAGGGTTCAAGGAACTCTCTTCTAATTACACTGCACTCGTAATGCTTTTATGTATGTCCATTGCAAATTAACATTGAGAAAAATTGAAAAACGTTTTACTTTAATATTTACATTAAAATATAAATATAAAAATAAATAAAAAGGCTGAACATAAAATAACAATTAAAAAGGCAGCGGGGAGATTTTAACCCGGTCTTTTGTTTCACATGGCAATCGGTGTACGCTAAGTCTCAAAATCTTACATGAAATAATTCATTTAATTGATACAAAAAGAACCTCACCTTTTAAAAATATTTTTCTTCTGTGTAAAAAATGCTCTTTTATTACATTCACATCGTCGTCTCGTTTGCACGCATGTTTTGCTTTCAATTTAGCACGTCTGCATTGAAATCGATCGCGCGTAGGTATTAGTTATTTTGTCTGTATGACATGTGTGTATTTGTGTCATAAAACTGAATTTGCCAATTAACAACAGCAGCCAACAATAACTAACTAAAACAATAACAGCAAAAACCAAGTGCAATGAGAGTACAAGAAATTGACATGCATGCCAAATGCAGTTGCTGAACCACATCATAAAAAGCAACAATGGCAACAATAAAGACAATGCAGATGGAAATGATGGCAATTGAAAGAGCTGCACTTACACTGATGCACACACGTTCTCTATAATATAAACGAAAACGAAAATTGCTGAAATTTTGGCAATGGTGCCTACAATAAACAGATAACTGTAATAATGCTCATATGCTCATTTCCAGTTAAATTGCAAGTAAATCCTAGGTAAAACCTATTTACGTCCACATAAAAGTTAATCATCAATGAAGAATAATAATCGTTTATTTACTTTAAGGCTTTGAACTTGATTTAATAATAATAAAGCTCTTGAATAGTATGCATAATTGAGAACTAGTATATACTATAAAATAGGTGTGTCCTTTGAGTTTGACAATTTTTTGTTAAAAAACATAACTCCTGTATTTAAATACATATGTTACATTGCGAACTGTAAGGTACAGATGGAACCCAAATCGCCATGACAGTTTTTTTATTCTTAATAATTTTGGTTTCGTATTAAAATGCAGATTTAAAGTCATTTTAAATGCCTATTTATAACCGATCTTGAGATTAGGCTGTTGGTTAGTTAATCACACACAAGATTCGGGTTTCCAGCCATCCAAGTTAAGCTAAATCGGTGGATAAGGTTAGATTCACTTAGGCACGCATCAGTAGCAACCTTTCCCCCTCTGGTCCCTTTCTTCCCCACTTTTCCACCACTTTGATGTTGTTTTCTGTAACTGAGCACTCACACAGTCGCGTAGAACACTCCCACGCACGTCACATACTGCAACGCATGAACAAATATAGAAGATATGCAGTTATTTACATAAAAGCTTTATAAATATGTGCATAAGCTTGCCACTGTGTTCTATGGATGTGTGTGTGTGTGCAGGGAAGGGGGTAATGCTGTGTAGATGTCAGCTTGTGTCCAACTAATCGCAATCCCAACTCGCTGACTCCACGAGTCGAGTTTTGAGTCTGATCCTAAGGTTGAGCCTTCATCTAAGGCATCATGTTTAGCTTACTTTCGTTCTGACAGAGAATTTTCTTCGTTCAGCAAAAAGCACTACCAAATTACACTAGAAAAAACGTCCGCGCTAATGTCTGGAACAACGAAAGCTTCCCCAAGGAAAACTTACTCATGTTAAAAAAAACAAGAAAGAAAGCAAACTTCGGCAAGCCGAAGTTCATATACCCTTGCAGCTATCGCAAGAATTAAATATTTTTGAAAACATTAAAATTATGATTTACTTGCGTATATGTTTAAAAACATTGAAGCTATGACGATTTGCAGCTTAATTATTTGATTGTTCTTTTATATATTTTTATTATTTGTATGGGAGCTATATGATATAGTCGTCCGATTTTGATGAAATTTTTACCATAATTCTGAAATATTTAACCATTGCTATATGTCGAAGAACTAAAAAAAAAATTAAAAAAACAGCAAAGTTATAATTTTTTCAATTATTTTTCCGATTGTTCCTATGGGAGCTATATGCTATAGTCGTCCGATTTTGATGAAATTTTAACCATAATTCTGAAATATTTAACCATTGCTTTATGTCGAAGGACAAAACAAAAAATTAAAAAACAGCAAAGTTATAATTTTTTTCAATTGTTTTTCCGATTGTTCCTATGGGAGCTATATGCTATAGTCGCCCGATTTTGATGAAATTTAAACCATAATTCTGAATTATTTAACCATTGCTATATGTCGAAGAACTAAACAAAAAATTAAAAAACAGCAAAGTTATAATTTTTTTTCAATTATTTTTCCGATTGTTCCTATGGGAGCTATATGCTATAGTCGTCCGATTTTGATGTAATTTAAACCATAATTCTGAATTATTTAACCATTGCTATATGTCGAAGAACTAAACAAAAAATTAAAAAACAGCAAAGTTATAATTTTTTTTCAATTATTTTTCCGATTGTTCCTATGGGAGCTATATGCTATAGTCGTCCGATCCGGCTCGTTCCGACTTATATACTACCTGCAATAGAAAGACAACTTTTGGGAAAGTTTCATGCAGATAGCTTTAAAACTGAGAGACTAGTTTGCATATAAACGGACGGACAGACGGACAGACTGACAGACGGACAGACGGACGGACAGACGGACAGACGGACAGACGGACGGACAGACGGACATGGCTAGATCGACTCTACTAGTGATGCTGATCAAGAATATATATACTTTATAGGGTCGGAAACGTCTCCTTCACTGCGTTGCAAACTTCTGACTGAAATTATAATACCCTCTGCAAGGGTATAACAAATATTATAAACGTTTGCTGATTAGATCGTCGCAGTCGATTAAACGCTTTATAAAAACGAAAATACATAAAATAGTTTTTTTTTATTCTGCATATAAGTTAAATTTTTTAGTTTTTAAGTTAGATACAATATTAATTATTTATTTATCTACCTATATACACAAATTTATACATAAAAAGTATTGTTATAGGAGTATAACATCCAGATAGATTTGTTGTTTTACAATTGGCCAATTGGTCTTGTTGTCGACGAAGCAAAGCAGTTTCCTAACGTAAGATTCCCAGTTGATAGGATCCTTTTCCCCCACGTTTCCCAAAATGTCTTTGGCTATTTTTCACAGTGTACATTGGCATTCTCTACACTTGCCCTAACAACTGTACCAGACACCGTGTCTGCCACCTTTCAGCGTCTTCTTCTCGCCTGTGCAACGCCGCCCTTGTGGATTTTTCCTAACAATTGCAAGTCGCTGCTGGCAACCTAGCAACCGAAAGCGCGAAAGCCCTGGCCGCAGTAATGAAAAGCAAAGTTGTGAAAAGCGAGCTGCAAAAAAAAAAGAATGGTTGGGCAGGAAAAATAAAGCAATCATTGCACTTGTCCCGCGCAGCAGCAACAACTAGCTGCAGCAACAATGTCCAAGGCTGCAGGTTTTTTTTATTCATTGCTGGTTGCTACGTTGCTTCAATTTAGCTTCGTTTTCACTGTGGCTGTGTTTGTGTATGTTTGAGTGAGTGAGTGTAGTAGTAAGTGTGTATGGGCTTAAGCGCTCGCCCACAATGGGCGTGGCAGTCATTTCCCGCAATTACGCCTACACACAAGCGACCTGGGTTGGGGGATATACCGATGTAGATGAATGCGGATTGTGGATGGAAATGGAAAAGGATATGGCGATGGAGATGCAGGCGGACATGAGTTGGTCCTGCGACCATATTTACAGCAGATGCCAGCGAGATGTGGCAACTCTGGCCCACAACTACAAAGCCAAACGGACGTATACGTATCATGCCCAGAAGTATGCTACACTTTTTGAGTTTCAAAGTCTGATGAACTAAAACCGAAACTGGGAAATGGACGAATATATGATGGACTGGGCAGGTGATTCGGTTGGGGCGTGGACATAGCTGTGCCATTTTAGGTATCGATAAGTTTAATAATTTATTTGTTTTATTGTACATTAAAGGGAATATTTCTAAAAAGTTTAATCAATTGTCTTACACAGGTGATCACATAAACGTACATATGTTTAGACCAAGTTTATTAAAATGTTTATAGTTTGAAGACCATACAAAATATTAATCAGTAGTCAAAATGGTTTTCTCTTAAATTTTGTAAAAAAGTAGTTTATTGAACTTTCTTATATGTGTTTATGAACAAATATTTCAAAAGCAATGCATAATTATCCGCCGTTTAATTGTAATGAGCTGATTAAATATCTTCGAATTTACTCGTTGCTCTGTAAATTTGTAAGCCATTAAGCACTTCACCCTCCATAGACGTACCTTTAAAACCCCGTTTGGAAAGTCGAGACTGCCTGCAGTTGGGTCTACATTTGCGCCTCATTCTGTGTGTGTATTTGTGGTTGCCGGATGTTTTTGACTTTTTGTGCAACTGTACGTCCGTGTGTCTGTGTGGCTTTGGCATAAAATGTTTCAAGTGTCATTTATATTTCATTTTTACCCTTTTTTAATGCCAGCTACGGCCACGCCCAACGCCCACAAGCAAACCCAGACCACGGGTCGTCTGCGCAAATTAAAATGTTTCCGTTGTCGCGTCTAATTCCCACACAGAGACAGAGAGGCCCATAGTTGGGCGAGATTGAATTTTATGGCCTGACGTCGGGCGCCAGAGTTTCTGCGAGTCCTGCGGATCGTGGCAGGGTGTCAGGGTTATCCGGACGGGGATTCGCTAATTATGAAATGACCTCGACATCGGCGTCGTTGATTTTAATGGTTTTCTGTTGTCAACTTAATTAACAAATTTTCTTGCCTTTGCCTCGATTGCAGAAAGGATGTTGCTGATGTCACCGCCGTTGCAGTAGCAACACCAGCCGAAGGAAAACACAAAAGACCCACTACTCCTCCCCCGACAACAAGCCACACACATGTTGCTGCCACAACTAAGATGCTCAGCGCTGCCAATGCAACTGCAACAGCAACACATGCAGGAGCAGCAGCCGCGATTGCCTCAGCCGAGACTTATGTCATAACAAACAAAAAGCAGCAACATCAGCAGCAGCAGCAACAAGTCTTTGTTGTTGCCGCCAACAAAATGGTGATACCAGCAACGGGAGCAACAATCGCCGGTATACCAACAGCAACAACAACAGTCGCTGCCGAGTCAACAGCAACACAGCAGCATCAGCAGCAACAACAGCAACATGTGCTGTTCCAGCCGCACCTACAGACAACAACAGCAGCAACCAGCACACCTCAGCAACAACAGCAACAGCAACCACCTCAACCGCGGCAACATCCCAAGAAGCGAAAGTTCGATCCAGCCGAGCTGGACAAGACCGAGCAGCATCCCCAGCAGCAGCAGCAGCATCCCCAGCAACAGCAGCAACTGAGTCTGCAGAAGCTGCAGAAACCCGCCGATACCAATGGCAATAGCGATGGACTGGCCAACGGCAATCAGCTTCATCGCATGATCGTGAGTTGCGGTGCAGGCGCCGGCAACAACAGTAGCAACAGCAGCACTAACAGCAGTAGCAGCGATATCAAGCAGCAGCAGCAGCAACTTATTATCATTGCATCTCCGCTGCAACATGGCAGCGGTAGTACTTACAAGCAACATGTAGCCAGCGGCAACAATAGTCACGCAGCCACAATTATTCATCAGCAACGCACACACACGCCCACAACCGCCGTCTACTACCCACAACAGCAGCAGCAGCAACAACAACAACGTTTTAGCTTTAATTCAAACAATCAGCAACATGTACAGGAACAACAGCAGCACCTGCAACAACAACAACAGCAGCAGCAGCCGCAATCCCTGCTCGATCTCAGCGAGTGGAACAACACGCGTGTCCTAGCCAAAATCCACAATCACTATGCCCCCGGGATAATACGCCAAGTGCAGGAGGCGTCTCCCGACTCAATACTCGTGGAATTTGATTCCACCGAATTGGGATTGCTGTTATATCAGGATGTTTTGCACCAGGGCCGCAACCATGTGATACTCGATGCCAGCCCGCCCATGGCGGATGTAAGAACACCTAACGAAACTTTTTTGTCATTCGCACATTCTAATGAAGTTGTCTCATCCACGATTAGATTACGCTGGATGCCCGTGTTTGTGTCCGACAACGGTTGGAGGGTCGTGGCTCCGGCAGCTTCGTCTACGTGGAAGGCGTCATTACGGACATCAACCAGGCCACGAAACAATATAGCGTGCAACTGATCGGCGATGAATTGGTGAGGCAAATGACAATTTAATAATAAAATGCAGACTGATGTTATATTATTTATACACATTTTAGTAAGGCTTTTGATTCTGTTAATCATTCTCTTCTTTTATTTAAATCATATCAGCTCGGGTTTTCGAATAATCTTTTAACTTGGATTTCAAGTTATTTGAATAGCAGAACTCAGAGGGTTATTTTTAAAAACGCAGTTTCCAATATGATTAAAGTAACATCTGGAGTGCCTCAGGGGAGTCATTTGGACCCACTGCTATTTACTTTATTCATCAATGATCTTCCTTCTGTCATAACACATTCTCGAGTATTAATGTATGCTGATGACGTTAAACTTTGTTTGTCATATAATAGTTTGCAATCGGGTTTCAGAGATGGTGCCAATCTAACCTATTATGTTAAATTTGAATTGCCTTACGTAATGCCATTTTATAGGGGTACGCCTTCATTTATACGCTATTATCTTCATAATATGCCACTGGACTGAATATATTCGGTCAACGATTTAGGAGTTCTTCTTGACCCAAAACTAAAATTCGACTGTCTCATAAAGTCTAGTTGGCAGTCATTTTTATGTGAAGCAAACATTAAAGAACACTTTTCCGATTTTGTAAGAGGAGTTGTTTGTATTGATAAGTCAGAAACACTCAGCGTACCAAATTATTTTAGGACATATTAATATGGTAAACGCTTTTTTTAAGATTTTTAAATTGAGTTTACTCATAGGGTTCTGTGATCAGTTATAAGATTTTAATGTGATTTTTTTTTTTTGAAGGCTAACAACAAAGTAGTACGTCGCGCCGATCTGCGCCTCCTGCAGCCGCCGTGGTGGGATGAGCTCAACGAAATGACACCCACTGGTGTAGCAAGTGCCCCCGCATCCAGCGGCAAGCGGAAAGTGTCAACGGGGTGTGCAGGGTCGGCAGCAGGCGAAGCGATGACCGTGCCCAGTGGCAATATCGTTTACCCAAAGGCGGCCACCGGCACGCCATTGACCTTCGTGGCCACCCGCTACGACGGCAAGCTGCCCACGGCACCGCCCACGTCTACACCCCAACAGTCGCAGCAGCATCTCGTGAAACAAGAAGAGTATTATCGAACGACGGCCACGTCGCCGTTCCCAACGCGACCCCCATTCGCCGGTCCTACCCACGGATCGGAGCAGGTGGCGCAGTCGCATCCCCAGCAGACCAACGGCCTGCCGGATATCGTGATCTCCCCGGGCAGCAATGGGCAGCACCCCAAGATGCAACAGCAGCAGCAGCAGCAACAGTCGTCGCGGGGCTACGACGACTACGACTCCGACGACGAACTCAAGCGGGTCGGCATCGGATACTCGCCAGCCGCCGGCGAGCTGGACACGGAGAAGATGAGTGCCTGCAGCAAGAGGAGCAGCATGCAGAGCCGCGGCAGCACGTCCAGTCTACTCGACCAGAGGCTCACTCCACGATCTCATCCAGCAACACCAAGGTGAGTGGGAAACCTTCGATAATAACTTTTAATAGGTGGTAAAATTTAAGTTGTAATTAATTATTATTGTAGTATATCTCATTAATAATTCTATTAAAAGTATTTGTAAAGAATAAGCGAAGCTAAACTAAAATCAAATTCTAAATTTACCTGTTTACTACTTAATTATGAACCTAATAAGATTGTAATTAACTAATTATATCCAAAGTCTTTGTTGTTACCCTGTTATTCATAACTTCTCCACTATCCTTTACCGCTTGCTAATGAACCGGCAGTGCCATCCACAGATCTCAGGCCACCACGCCGCACCGCTTCAAGAAGGGAGACATCGTGGAGTCGGAGTCCGGCGTGCGCAAAAAGTACAACGGGAAGCAGTGGCGCCGTCTGTGCATGCTCTGCACCAAGGAATCTCAGCGGCGCGGCTACTGCTCGCGGCACCTCAACCAGAAGGGCAATAACAGCGCCCTGCCATCGTCCACGGGCCCAGGACGTCTGCTCAGGTAAGCTCTACTCTCCGTTTTCCTCCATCATTTTCATAATCATATATAAAACATTGTCATTTTTTAAGATTAGGAAAAGTTATATTTATTTAAAGAAATCTTTTTTTGATCTTAATATCAAGTATTTTTTTTATCAATGTATCATTTTTAATAATGAAAAAATATATATAGTATTAAAAAAAAAAGAATAAAGAGAGAAAAATGATTCTATAAAGCGAACACTTACATAGGTATTTTACTTTGAGACGGAAAGTTAACAAAAAATGTAATATAGGCTTATGGTATTTCGATTCACAAATCTGAACGGTACAATTTTAAGATCGGATTTTAAGCAAATAAATTAATTTTAAATTACTTTGTATTGACATACTTAACATTTTGATAGATGAGTGATTTTCAACTTACCTGTCCATCTATCTTGTAACCCATTTAATAGTGACAGCCGATCAAGCAGCAAGACGCAGATCGATGAGGACACCTCTCGCGACTCGGAGACGTCGCCCAACTATCGGGTCAAAGGTCGCTACGATCAGGAGGAGACCGATGCGGCCGTCATGCTGGGTAAGTCTCTGCGCCACCATCACACCTCTTGACTCTTTACGATCCGGGCAGAAGGTATCATAAAAGCATTTAAGATTCTGTTTTCGACTTCGGGCTGAACAATTTATTCATAGTTTGCAGCAATTTATTTCAAGGCTGGCCCTTCCCAGCCCCTCGTGCCGTCCCTTTCGGGCCTGACCAGCGCCGGCTTAACCGTTAATCTATCTCTGTTCACGCAATTAAAGAGAAAAGGGCAGCAGGCATAGCGTACCAAAAACGATATTCCTCACGGCGCTTCTGGAAAAATGTTCTTTGGTTATGTTTTCGGGCAGGAGAACTTTTGTGCACCCTACACAGCTTAGGGAACCTCTCTCTTTCATACCGAGTTCCCCTATTAAATTATTCCTTTGGAATGCAGAAGAAACGAATGTTTTTCATTCAGAGCATAACCGGATTTCTGGGGCACTGTAAAAAGTGTTTGTTAAAAGACCATAAAAAGCAGAACTCCAATAAATGGCTTGTCAAGCTCCTTTGGAACATTAAATTCGCTTCAACAAAGAGGTTTATTAGACGATGCATAAAGGTTTTATGATTTAAAATAATGTTCTTATGCTTATGACTGGTATATTAAGCTTATGGCTTATAATAGGAGAATATCTGATATTAAAACGGCTCATTGCAAACCCTAACCTGTTTTATGAAAAATGATAATTTAAATATGTTTTATTAGTATATAAAGCCTTATACTATGAAAATACCATGTAACGATTGTTATAAAACTTATTATTTTAGGAAAAGATTAATTTTCGTTTTCGGATTTTTATGATAATTTTTAAAATATTGTCGAAACTGTTCTTTATTTCAATAAATTGACTTATATAATGATGCTGTAATGTTAAGGATTTGCAAACGTTAGCGCAAAAGGTTAGCGCACTTGCTCCAGTCGATGCAACCGGACCTTTCTCATATCATGTTTTCTAGTTCGATGCATTTCCAATTCACCATAAAATGCATATCATAAAGTTTTATTGTAGCAGCGCCGTCGTTCTTTCTGTATTCCTCTCCCTACCGTCCTCCCGACCCCTGTCCATTTTTCACACACCTCAACAAAGGTCGTTTGTCCGTCCGCTTGTCCGCCGCTTTTCATGAAAGGTGTCGCTGCTGCGGCGCAAAGGTCGTGTACGATTCCAATTTCGATCCCAAAAACGCATCAAGGGTTCCATTGTTCGCCGGAGAGAAAGAGGGAGAGAGAACTGCCCCTACCACTCCACCCGCCCGGCCACTTGAGAGTGTGACCGCAGCGTGATTTACACGCCAGACGCAGCGACGTCGGCAGCGACAGCGACTGCGCAGCAGCAACGAAGGAAGATGCTAAGGCAGAGGCGTGCAAAGGACTTTTATTGGGGGGATACAGGAATTGTGGAGGGTTACAGTGTTTTAAGATGTTAAACGTCATACTAATGCGAGTTACAGTTAAGATTGGGACAAATAAACCCTTTTTAAATATCCTGTGAACATACATAAAATTTAAATTCTGGAACACAAATTTGTTTGGGCGGATCATTAAACAAACCGTCATACAATTTTCTAAAATCTAGAACAAGTAGTAGGCACCTCTGACCCCTGGGGCCCTGCGTACTATGCCACTGTGCCCACGCATTCCTGAGCACCTGCAGAAGGTAAAATACGTCGTGATCGCTGCGGCAGAGCCACTTGAGACGAAACAAAGCGGAGGCAGAGACGTCGACGTCGGCAGAGACTGCGTGCGAAGCGCAACAGATTCTTTTCTTTTATTCAGCTCTTTTCTTGTTATTTGCCCTGCCTTTGATTCGTTTTACCTAAACAAAAATGCACTTGAGAGCGGCCAGGCACGCACACACCTTTACGGCAGGTAAACAAACATGGCGAGCGGCGGCTCAGAGAAAAGGAGAGAGTTTAAGAGAGATAGAGAGAGCGGCGCTCGACTTATGCTGCTGACGTCGACGTCGCCGCGCCGCCCTTGGAATGAAACGTACGTCTCTGAAGAATCGGATCGACGATTGCCGCATTTATGCTGAAAAGTGGGAACTGTCAAGAGCACAAAAACTAAAGAACCAAGAGCAAGAACGGAAAAAGCAAAGCGATGCGAATGCAACGGACAAAGCGAATGTGACAAACACACGACGTCGACGAGCGCAGAAAAGTGTATTTTAAGCGGATTCGGTTGGCGAGCGAAGACGAGATTTCCGTGGAAATGCACAAGAGGACCGAAAGGACGTCATGAATGCGTTCCAGGACTTTGAGCTGGGGGCCAAACTATATCTGCAGTGCTTATGTAATGCCATTAGATCGAAAGAGAGAGACAGTCTTAACACCCTCATGCTTGTTTTTACCACAAGCAGGATTTAATTATTCACCCTTCTTTTTTTTTATTTTTTATAGTATCCCTAAGCAGCTCTCGATCTGCCACGCCCTCGTACACCTCACCTGTGAACCACGCCGGAGCCTCTCCGCTTAATGCCATCGCCCATTCGCCGGTAAATGTGTCCGCCAGTCACAGACAGAACTTTTTTACGCCCATCGCCAACCAGTCGCAGCAACAACAACAACAGCAGCAACAACCTGTTGCCGTACCGCTCGACTCTAAGTGGAAAGCAACACCCAGTCCGGTGCTCTATAATGCCAACAACAACAATAATAACAACAATGGCTGGGAAGCGAGCAGCAGCCACAGCAAAAGCAACAATACTCATGTTGCAGCTACGACAGCAACATCGATTGCTAGCACTCAACCACTGCCGCCGCAAACGACGCCCGTTTCGCTGGTGATGCATGCCCCACCGCCGCACCACCAACTGCAGCAGCAGCACCACCAGCCTCCGCCGCCGCCACCTGCCATTTTGCCAGCGCCAGCGGCACCACCCACCAGCGGTAGCAGCAATAACAACAACAGCGTGGGCCATGCCACCAGCGTTATTCGCATCTCCAGCAGTCAGCAGCACCATCCACATGTGGTGGTATCCGGTGGTCAGACCTTTCATCCCGTGATTGTGGACGCCACTCAGCTGACGGTGCCCCTGCCCCCCACCACGGTTTCATTTCATCAGCCTAACACGCCCACCTCAACAGCGGCAACAGTGGCGTCCTTGGGTCAGGATAAGATGCTGCCAAAAAACGGTAAGTTAAATGATTCCTAGCCCAAACCAAAATAATTTTACTTCTTAGTTATTTATTTAAAAAAAAATGATTTAGCTCAGTTAATTTCCAATTAAAAATACCCTTCTTGTTCACTTCTTGTTCTTGTTTTAGGCTACAATGCGCCCTGGTACAAACTGCTGCCGCATATGACGCCCATGAGCAAGGCGCCGCCAGCTCCGGCCACCCCAACCTTGACCACTTCGGGCAGCAACTACAGTGTAGTGATGATGCAGCAGCAGCCGCAGCCGCAGCACCACCAGCAACATCAACAACAGCAACATCTACAGCAGCAACAGTCGCCGCCGCAAATGCCGCTAAACCATAACAACAACCAATTGATTGTGCCAGCACCACACTGCTCGCCGGGCAAACCGCTCAACTGCTCCATGAATGATGCCAAGGCAGCGGCAGCAGCAGCGGCTGCAGTGGCCAGCCAGAGGCAGCAACAGCAGCAGCAGGAGGAGCCGGACGACCAACTGGACGATGATGTATTCGAGGCCACGACACCTGGGATCAGTGGCAGCAGTAAGAAACAAACGGCGGCCATGCGATTGGCCACCCACACCAGCAACATACGCAAGCTGGAGGAGTGTCATGATGCCAGCGATGGAGCAGCAGGTGCTCCAGCCACTTCGGCTGCCAAGCGGAGAAGTCAATCGTTGAGCGCACTGCAGCAACAGCAGCAGCAGCAAGCTGGAGCGACCGGAGCAGCGGCTGGGCAGCCGCCAAACAAGAAGATTCGGCGACCCATGAATGCCTTCATGATCTTCTCAAAGAAGCACCGCAAGATGGTCCACAAGAAGCATCCGAATCAGGACAACCGCACAGTTAGCAAGATCCTGGGCGAGTGGTGGTACGCCCTGAAGCCAGAGCAGAAGGCGCAATACCACGAGCTAGCCAGCTCCGTGAAGGATGCTCACTTTAAGCTGCACCCGGAGTGGAAGTGGTGTTCCAAGGACCGCCGCAAGTCATCCACATCGACGGCCACTCCTGGTGGCAAGGCGGGCGGAGCTCCCGGAACGGGTGACGCAAAGCAGCGCCTGGTTTCAGTAGATGGCTCCGATTCCCTGGAGCACGATATGTGCCCCTCGACGCCAGGAGGCAGCGGCAGCTGTGGTGGCCAGGGCATGTCCTCTGATCTACAGGGTGACATTATACCCCTGACGATCGACAACTACAATAGCACCTGCGATGAGGCGCCAACCACGATCTCGATGAAGAGCAGCGGCCATGGGAAGCTAATGAAGAACGAGTTGCCCTCCGACGAGGATGAGCAGATGCTGGTCGTGGAGGAGGAGCAACCGCAACAGCCCGTGAAGAAGCTGGATCTGCACTGTCGCGAGCGGGTAAATGACTCAGACATGGACGACGCACCCTTTGACTTCCGCAAGCAGCAACCAGAAGCGAATCAGGTGCCTAAAATCGATTTATTAAACTTTAATTTGTTGTGTCGCAAACAGCATAACCTAACTGGTTTTTCGATTAATTTGCAGCGTTCGGCGGAGGAGCACAATATGCCCGGTGCCAATGGCCAGGCCATGACCGCACCGCCGCTCAGTGGAGGAGAACGCGAGATCACAGTCAAACCGAAAGCTATCAAGGCCCATTCAGTGCTGGAGAGCAATATGCTGTCATATACCCAGATGTCCAACTACACGCAGTACACTAGTCCCAAGAACCCAATCGGTGTAACACCATTCCAACCCACAGGCGAGCACACCCCCGCTAATCTTCACCCCGCCATGCCATGCTAATCGAAGGATTCCCTTAAATTTTTAATCCGCAGGCGGCGCCTTCAAGTCGATGCCCATTAGCCCAAAGGGCAGCGGGTGCAAACCAGAGGACGTTGCGCCCCTGCAGTCACATATCAAGCAGGAGGACATCAAGCAGGAGCCGCCATCGCCATACAAGCTGAACGGTGCTTCAGGATCCGTTGCCGGAGGGGGCGTGGTCAGTGCTCCGCCACGTGTCTTCAACTTCAATGTGCCAACGGCAACGGCTTTGAGTCAGAAGCAGTTTCACTACCCCATGCATCATCCGCATCGCAGTCCCACGGATCTGAGAGGTAAGAAACCAGAGACGGAAAAGGGCTCGGAACATGCTGGGTTTTTTCGGGCATTAAGACAATTGCAATTGTAATAAAGCTTTGGCATTTAGAACAATTATCAATAGCAATACCTGTTTTATCATTTTTAACCCCATGACAACAATGCCATTGATATTGAATTAAAAACAGTCTTAATGCTTTAAAGCGACCTCGTTTTAATATAAATTTGTAGTGTTTTTTTTTGTAACCTATTTTAATCATATTTTCCATATATAGTTTTTATATCATACTTTAAATTTTCATTTTATTTAGTGTAAACTAGAATTGGCATTATTTCTACTATGATTTGTTGACGTCGTATGATTTTATTTTCGTAGTGTTTTGTGCCAAAAACCAAGTTGGTGATATACAAAAATTGGAACCTTCCCAGACCTTACATCGATCGCCTCACGCCCAATACCCCACTTTTCATTTAACATTCGCCAGCTCATCTGCAAAGTTTTTCCAAAGAAAGCTTTTTGCATAACATAACATCTTTTTCTCTGTTCTTTCACTTTTTCTCTCTCACACGATTAACACACCCCACTATTGATCTTCCTTTGTCGCGCTGTCATCTTTGTCACCTCACCCATAACAAAATCAATCGATTGTAGAAGGTGAAACAAAAAGGGGAGAGAATAGAAAGGGCCCTAAGTCGGGGGAGAATAGCGGCAAGGATAATGCGGTCTTAAATGACGCAGAACCGGACGAGGAATATGATGAGGATGAAGAAGAAGACGACGACGACGATGATGAAGATGACGAGGACGATGAGCAGTTTATGCAGGAGCTGGCCAGTGTGAATGCCAGTGCCGGTTTCGATGATCTTGCCCCTTATGCGATGCCAAAGACCGTGATTACGCCAACACCCACGCCACCGCCGGTGGCCACCATTGTGACCCCCATCAAGCGCAAACAGTTCACCATAGTGCGATCCTTGACTCCGCTGCAACCGTCGATATCCCCGCACCAACAGTTGAAGCATCTGCACCATCGACGTGGCGAAACTCCGCCGACGGTCATCACCCGCGTGCCCACGCCCACAATTAATCACTTCACCATCATACGAACGCAACATCACCCACATTCCCATCCACACAACACTCCACCGCCGTTGTTTTTCAAGCCGAAGGTTCAGGGCTCACCAGTGATTGCCACGGTCACAACCACATCATCATCATCATCGTCGAACCCAGTCAGTAACGAAGCCCCTAATAAATTTTCCAATTTTCCAACACAACACCAACCAACAACCACAATTACATGCAATACTAACAACAATGCCACGCCAATCATACGAAAATTGTTGACGCTGCAAGAAGGTGCCGAACTGAGCGGTAGCCACAAGGGCACAGGACGCGCGGCGATCCTTTACGATGCCTTGGTCTTGGACACGTTACACGGCCAGGATGAAGGGGATGAGGACGATGAAGGGGAAGGCGAAAGGGAGGATGGGCCAAAGGTGGCAAGCAAAGAGCAGGTTGCCTCATCACAGCCAGCTACCATGCTGCTTATCACCGACGTCAACACGTACAACCAGCAACACGCGACTGGCAGCCCAGCAACACCAGTGTCGGGAGCAGCCACTCTGCGACCCGTGTCCTTCATAAGCATCAATGCCGGCAATAAGATCACCTTGCCAGCCAATGCCCGCATCCTCAAAGCAACAACGGCAACGGCAACATCCACGACAAAAGCGACGGCCACAAATCATAGTAGTAGTAATGCCAACGAACTAACCATCACAGCAACAACATCGGCTGCTCCTGTGGCCACCAGTGGCTCCAGCATAGTCATGATTAACTCAACCTCAACACCCTCCTCATCCTCCAATTCCACCTCTTGTTCTGCAGCTGCCCACCAGGCGTGTGTGCCATCTTCGCCGGCGGGCATGGGACTGGGACATGCGGCCAGCATTGCCACGCCTCCGGCATCAGCGCCCGCCCAGATCATGGGAGGTGGGCCAGGACAAGGTCAAAAGATGTTGTTCGCCATGAGCAACCCGGTAAGTGATGTTAAAGTTCACTGCCAACACATTTGGATGATATTATGTTATTAATTTCAGTACCCTCTGCTGCAGCGTTCTCACCAGCCAGGTACGCCCAGTCTGGAGCACTTGCAGTTGGACGCCTTTGCGCCAGGAAGTTACATCTTCAAGAACCACAACGGTCTGTCCTCGCTGCCGCCGCCCGTCAGTGCGCAGCCCACAATGCTGCTGCACGGATACACGCCAAGCCACAGTGCCGAACCGCCGGCCAGTTCGCCTTCGTACAAGTCGATGCCCTCCACTCCCAAGTCGGCCACATATCTCATGAGTGCGCCGCCGGAACGGAGCATGGAGGGGGGCATGGGTGGCTGTGCATCTGCAGCGGCGAGTGGAGGCAATGAGAACGACATGGAAGCCGATGGTCAGCAGTTTATTCTGGCACCAACGCCGGCGCAGTTGGGACGAGCCCCGCTTCAGCGCCGCAAGAATCTATGTATGTGGTCTCTCAAGATGAACTTTGGACAGCGATCCTAAACGAAACGTATCCTTTTAGCTCAAAGCAAGTCGGAGAATAATGTGTCCTTTGGAGCTAATCTGGGAGCCAGTAATGGGCAGCACATCAGCCGCAAGTTGCACTCGCCCACAATTATGGATGCCTCTTCGCCGATCATTGGCCATGTGAACAGCAGCAGCCTCAGCTCGGCCCTGCCCACGCCCACATCATCAACCACTACGCCGAACAGCGATGAGCAACTGCCCCTGACGCCGACCACCAGCAGCAGCAACAGCGCCATCAACCAGCCGCCCAAGTCTCCGATGAAGGGAGCTCCGGGATCAGCGGCAGCGGCCCTCAAAAAGAAAACTGATGAGATGAACAAGTAAGATGATCAAAATTTCCGGTTGATGTGCTCATCTAACAACTATCCATTTACAGCAGTGTGCTCAAGCAGGTGGACTTTGAGAAGAAGTACAAGGCTCTGCCGCAATTTCAGCCGGAGGACTGTCAGTCGCCAAGTGCCATCGCTGTGCCCTCCTCGCCGCGCGTTTATGGCACGAATTACCGGAAAAAGAACACGGCTCCGCCGTCAGTGCAGAAGCTAAGTGAGTCCCGAAATCAGATAGTCCAGAAAATTTGAATATATCTAATACTGAATATGCTTTTCAGTGTGCGAGGACGATTCGATTGAGGAGCCAGTCTCGGCACCGCCCACAACCACTCAGCGTTTCTTTGGTCCCGACTTTACCAACGAGCTAAAGGGTAAGCTTAAGCCACTCACATGTTTAAATTCAGTTTTTAAACAATTATTGTTAAAGCTTCAATTTAATGATAATACAATTATTATAACTAGTAGAGGAGTTTGACTTTATATCTTTCATCTTCATTTTCAAATGCCTAATAAAGACGACCGCTTTATTGAACTGGAGAGCTCTGACCAAACGGGCCGCTCGCCCAGAACACCAAAGACACCGCTCCAGAGCGCTCGGTCCGATGCCAGCGAGAAGGGGCACCGCAAGGTGCTGGAGACGCGTCGCCACCTGGTCATGCAGCTGTTTGCCGAGCACGGCAACTTTCCCACTGCCCAGGCCACCATTGCCTTTCAGGTGAGTTCTTCACCTCTATATCATTCCAGCAGTTGATGCCATAATGCTAAAACCTATCCACAGACCAAGCACATAGATGTCTTTCCGCGCAAGCAAGATCTGCAGCTAAAGATACGCGAGGTGCGCCAGAAGCTGCTAGGCCAGGCATCCTGCACTCCGCACTCGGCAGGTCCCAACACACCGTCCGACTCCAACTCGTCGTCGACCACGTTGAGTGCAAATAGCACCGGCTTGAATGTGCAGGCCACCAATGCAGCAGGTAATTGGAACCCGTCTAAAGTAATCTTAAATGGAATTAATTTCTTAAAGTCCAATAATTCATTCTATAGTTTTGAGATTTGAGTTTATTTTATTTTAGTCCTTCATAAATTGAGTTTAATTTTAATTTAGTTTCCCTTTCTCAATGAAAACATTGTACAGATGTTTTTCAATATTAATAAACGACAGGTGGACACCAATAACAGCACTCTGAGCAGTAGCCGCATCCCGTCCGCAATGCCACTGAATCAGATGCCGAGTACAAGTACAAGTAAAGTGGATGTGGTCGAGGACTTTGGCGGGAACAGGACAAGACAAAAGATTGTTTGCTGCATGTGACAAAATTACTTAAGGATAGTAAATGAATCGACAGCAACAACAATTGCAGCAGCGCACACTCACAAAATGAAAAAGATATACAAAACAAGCTCTCACTTAGCTACAGCTCATGCATGAAATGCATGGTTTACTAGTTTTTATTATAAACTGCAAATAGTGAGAGAAGTTACACAAAGAAAATAAAAGATATTACACATTTTTAATTACAATAGGCATACAAAATATGTACAAGCAACGTAATTTGAGAGTGGAGATGAGAAACTTATTACGAATGAATTTATTATGCAGCTTAATAAATCAGGAGAAGAGGTAGAAATTTTGATGAAAATTTGAACTTTTGAAGCACATATGAAGTACATACATAATGAAAGCATTGTATAATCCCGGCGTAACGGCTTAGGTTTTAATTTACAGGCGAAACTGCAACTAACAAATTGCAAGAGCTAAGAGAAAATTACGGAAATAGCGGTTAAGCTTTAACTTAAATTGCACATTAATTTTGAAGTGTATTAAGCACAAGCAAAGAATTGTATAAATCAAACAGCAAGAAACTTGAAATGAACACTGTAGTTGTATTGTATATTTAGTCGTAATATTTTTAAACGAGAACAAATCCCTACAAAACACCCGCATTAACACCCACTTTCACACATCTAAATGCTTTTAAACTGTTTGCTTTTGTTCTCAAAGTTTATGCGAAAACAAATCGTTTTAAATTGTATGTACATTTCCTTTAATTGGCTTTTTACACTGTTGTCTAATTGAATTATAATTTATATATAGTTTTTTATTATTATTACTTTAGCATAGCCTGTTTTTAAATTGTACACACACCGAAAAATAAACTACAAAAAAGAAAATAATTGAAAGAAATTTATTACAGACGATTGAAAGAAAACAAAAAAAAAAAAGAGAGAGAATGAGAGAACTAACTGTCTTCCACTGTTGCTGCAATATACTATTTAATATTGTTTATCATTTCGGTTGAAATACATTTAGTTGTAAATTAATGTTTTAAGTATATGACTGCATTTTATTGAAATGCAAAATAATGTTCTTTGTGAATTGTTTAATTTTTTATGTTGTCGCTGATTTATGTTATTAATTATGTGGCTTTTTAAACTTAAATATTTTGTCAAATCTTTCTTCCCCCAATGTCAGTCACAGTTCTTATCTATAATTAACGTTTTTTCCCTCAAGAAGCAACAGTTGCAAAGAATTCGCAAAATTAAAGAAAACTCTTACAGATATACACTCAATATAAAAAAATAAGCTAGTGACGCAAAAAAAAATTATAGTAACAATATTCACATTATAGGTATTACAATAATTTTAATACGCAATAATTAAAATCATCAAATATTCAACGTGTGAATTTAATTGAATGCTGCTTCCATTTAGTTCCATTCTTGCTGGACGCTGCTATTATAGAAATTAACAAGAACAATAAAATAAAAAATCAACAAATTTTTAAAATTTAAAATCAACTCACGTAGTCGTTTATAATTTTTTTTAGTTTTGTGTTTAATAATATTTTAATTATACTTTCTTTATGACGATAAGTTATAATTACCTATTAGTTATTTGTATTAATTAGTGAACAAACGAAATTTTATATGATAAAAAGCAAAAGAGCGTGTAAACTGTAGCGTGTTAATGTTAAAAAATACGAATAAAACAAAAATAAAACCAAGTTTTTAAGCAAATTCGAACCAATGTGTGAACTTAATTGTAGAAGGAACACATATAAATTTTCTATTTATTTTCGCCACCTCCCCCCGAACTCCTCCCCTTAGCAAGCAAACTTGTGCCAATGACAAAGCTTAACTAACATTACTCACTTATCGAACCCTCAATAGAGCTAAGTAAAACATGTTTGTCAATTAGGTCAAATGAAAACATAACACTAACTTTCTGACCTTCACGGAGTTCGAAAACTTGAAGTTGATACAACAAAGAACATTTTTGGACACCAACATTTCGGACTCAAAAAGTAAAATACGGAAAAAGGAAAAATAACAGGAAATACTGAAAAAACTTTTGGCAATTACTAAAATGAGAACAAAAGGGAAACAATCTCAGTCAGAAAACACACAACAAAAAACGGCGTTTCGGATACAAAATTCTAAAATTCAGGTATTACAAGCAAAACAAAAATACAGATAGTGTTGTATAATGTTTTGAACAAAGTAAAAAAAAAAGATGAACTATTTAGCTATTTATACAAGCAAGGCAAGTGTGCCCACTTTGCGAGTAAGTGTAAAATTTATAAGGTGCTTTTATAACAAAATATTTGGTAAAAAAGCAAAGGGCTCCTTCCCACATTAATATATAAATATATACATCTATTTTTGTCAAACGGCATCCACTGTATTTTAAAATGCTTTTAAATGGAGGAGATTTCGAAACGAAAACCCAGAAAGGGTACAAAACTCTTGTAATTCAGTTGTGAGCGATTCGCACATTTTGACGATAAAGGAGCGTGTGTTTTTTATAGTTTTTAATCGAGGAGGGCATTTTTAATCGTAGCTGAGCTCTCCTCAATACGTAGAGCTAAATATATATCTACAATCATCTGATTGATGACATCTCTAGTGGCAATCGAGGTTACATACTGCTGTTTGCGGTTGGTTTAGTTAATTGTTAAATGATAACCGAAAAACAAGAAATATTCTTAAGTCAATGATTGATGGCACAATTCTGGAGTTACAATGCGATTTTTAAGTTCGTAGTGAAATTTCCCGACTTATGATTTGCAATTGACTTTTGAAGGCTTTGTAAAATAAAAACAGAAGAATACAAATATAAATTATATGTACAACTTATTTGTGAAGTTAACTAATAAGCCAGTTATTGTGAAATGTATTTTGTAAGCCACACTTAAGACAAATTACGAATATTAAAATACAATATACAATTACGAACATATACAGGATATAGAAAACAAATACAAATACTAAAACAGAATATTCAATTATTCAAATGTGCAAATCTCATCCGATCATTAAGAACACGTCGGAGGCAGAGGCTTTTGAAAGAAATTATTTAATTAGTAGATCAAAGGACGATCTGAGCAGAATCGATTGCTTAGCCCTTGGCCTCCAAGACAAACGGTCCTTACCAACAAACCACTAACACAAACACACGAAACACACACATATATATGTATGTATAAATAAATATATACGATAATAAATTTATTGAATAAAAGAAAAATATACATTCATAATTTGTGGAGTGTTTATTCATTAGAGGTCTTGAATTTTCGTTTTCGCTGACATCTAGGAAACTTGGAAACAAGAAACTAAAACCGATTTCTTTTTGGCATGGTAATCAAATAAAATATATAAGGACTACATTTTTAAGAAAACGAATAAATAATTTATTGAGATTATGAAAATTATTTGATTGGCCTCCGTGCAAACAGATTTATACCGATTCCGCCACCTCCACTGGCACCTCGTGAAAGATACTCCTCGCTGAGGACAGAACACTGACATCGGCGCAGTTGATGAAGGTTTCCTGGGCACCGCAGCCCATGGCCCCTGACCCATCCTCACACACTCCCCAATTATTTCCCGCCGTATAGGTCCAGCGGAGCACGCAATGGATGCAGTTGAGCTCGGTGGGAAGTTGAACCACTACTGGTATATCTCCAGTTGTTGTGTTGATCTTGTACTTCGTGCTGCCATCTGCAAACTTCAAAGGATACTGATTGAAGCACTCTTCCGATTCGCTACCATTTTTATCCAGGTTGCAGATGTGAAACCGGAAGTAGCCCAGATGATTGGCAGTGATCCTAACGCTAATTTCAGTCTCGGTCACGTCGGCATAGCTCTTTACGATCACACCACTGCCATATTTTCCGCCTAGCTCATTAGGGCGTGGCTGCTTCAAGCTCCAATCATCGCCGCAGAGTCCACAATTTCCACCATTTTCGGTTTGTTTCTAAAGGATAAAACGAACATTAAATAAAATCCGTAAAATCACTTGCTTGCCACAATCTTACCCATAAACCACCGCAATATAATGCATTATCATCATAATTTGTTGGCGCCGATGAATCGGTGCGCCAACGTGAAGATCTTCCTGGTGGAGTCAACATCATGCCATGGGCATTCAATCCACCCAAGAAGCAAAAAATACCCAAGCTTATAAGCAGGATCTCCTTGAAGAATTTCATTTTGCTTTCACTTTTCCTTTCACTTTAGTCTGAGTCGACCTGGTCCGAGGCTTATATAGTTCCATATTCTCAACCCTTATCAGTTACCGGGCGGTTTATGCTTGTTTTTGATTTTTCGCCAAATAACCGTGAATTTTTCTTATCGCTTCATAATCTTAATTTTGTTTACGGTTATTGGTAGTTAAAATTTGGGAGAATTCCTAGTATCTACCTGGGAACTGGCAAAACACCTATGACACATATAAACAATACCCCAAATACTGGTAATGGAATCATTCTAAATTCGAAGACTTTTTTATTGGGCTGTGGCTGTTTAGCCCACCAATGCCATTATGATAAGAGTTCATTGCTAAGAAATAATAATAAACTTGTTAACCAAGGTTGAAGTGTCTCAAGTACTATACTATTTACTTATAACATAAGATCGTTATTAAAAGGATATCCAGTCATATTTTGAACCACAAATGTTGTTGTTTGGTTTCAAAAGGAAAGAAAAGAAAAGATGAAATTAGAAAAAAAAAAACAATTAAAAAGAAAATAATATCCATGGGCCATTTGATTTTTAATGCACATGTCAAAAAACACTTTACAATAAAATATATATTCACATCCAGCAAAAATGATTAATAAATCAAAAAAATCCTAAGCTGAATTTTGCTGATAGCTTTATTTAAATGGTTAAGATAGGGCATTTTTAACATTAATATACTTAAACATAAGAATAATTTTTGCAAATAAAAAAAAAGATAAGCCGGCTTTGCTATTATGGCGAATATTTGGCCTACTAGATATACTGCGAAAACTTTCGTGGTTTTACAAATGTTCTTTGTTGTTTGTAAAATGAAATATTGATACAAGTAAAATATCAATCTAACGTTGATATTTGCATAGTTTTAGGCTGTACCTACTATTTTGATTTTATTTTACTTAGCCCACACAGCTTATAATAGCAGCTAAAAATCAAAGAATACACCGATGGTACCTTCTTTTCTATTAAATTAATACAAAATCTTGTAAGCTTCAAAGAACACAAAACTAAAATATCCTTTTAGAGTCAACCTATTTCGACGCCATGGAGTCCACACATTTAATTTTTTTTTTTTAAATACGAATCTACTTTACGTTTACTTATACATCAACCGAATGGCGCTGAAGAACTTGTAAGACACTTGCATGAACTGCAAAAGGATAAATTCAAATAGATCTTTAAGATGCTAAGTGTGAGTGAATCTTACAATGCTCATAGTCTCAAAGGACACGTCCAAGAATATGGTGGCTCTTAAGCAGACGGGCTTCTGGGCCCGCAAAGACATCAAAATAAGCATTTTGCGGAATCGGGGGTCGGATTCCATCCAATTCATTTCATAGACAGCAAGGCTTATACCATTACTCTGCAAATGTCTGGTAAGACAAGTGGAATATACTTTAGAACATACTTATCACACCGCATCGATAAGCAGCTGGCTAAAATAGCAGAATAGGAATATTTCCATTAGAGCCGAAATCATAGTTAAGACCTGCTTGAAGATATATTCCAAGCCAACGAAACCAAGAGTCAACGTAAATCCCACATTGCAGACAAGCAGCGAAGAGTTTACAAAGTTTAAGAGTAAAGGCACTCAAAAGACATCGTTCATCACGTTTGAGACTCTGAAAGAGATTGGGCATTTCATTAAATCGTCAATTCTTTTCCCTGCTTAACTAACTCTAATATTTCCATGTGCCGCGCAATCAGGGATCTTAACTTCCTTAGATCCTCTTCAGCCCATCTGGTATTGCGATGATCCCGAACATCGAAATCCCTGAGAGTCCTGGCCAGTCTTTTGAAATGCATTATGACCTGCATGGCCACAGCGAACATCAAGAGATCGGCAGATACACAGCCACAAGTACATGTGTAAGCAGCGATCGACTGGAGCAGGTAGGTAGGAAAAAATCTCCATGTTCCACGATAACTCCAAGGCGCAATGGGCACAAAGGGCAGGTTGAGCTCGACATTGGGCACGTGGAGCAACCACCTTTGGATGACGTACTTCGGAACAGCAAACAGGCTGTTTGTGGTAATCATAGTGATCAGAAGACAAGCAAAACGCTTTGAGATAAGCTGGCAGCGTTTCAGATAGATCTTTACCCTAAACATCTGCTGCTCCTTCTCTATGGGCTGTGGAAAAATGTTCGAAATATGGTGCATTAACTTGGTCAGATTTTGCTTCTGCAATTGAATAGCGATGATCTTTAAGACGCCCACGTTGCCGAATATGATTTGGCCCACCACCATGGGAATCTTAAGGAAATCCGTGCTCTTGTCGCTTCGCACGGAATCAATCACAAACACCATTATTGAGACCCAGACAAAGATCAGATTAACTACGTGAAACACAAGGTACAGATGAGTTCCAAGGCCGGATTTGTGGTCCGATTCGAAGGGTTCCACACCCATTGAACGAAAGTAAATCATGGCCAGCTTTAAGAAGTCCTCGGCGACAGGATACACCTTCTTCGGCTTTACTACTGGCACAATTTTTCTATTGAAATACATATTTTCAAGGAAGATGACCTTCATGTTTATCAGGTGGATTTCACTTCACAATTGTGTGCCATCTAAAATTTAGGTCTTATATAGTCCAGCCGTAGCGCAAAACTACAAATTTGCATGCACTTAAAAAACAAACCATTTTTTACTTACTTATTTACTTAATTAAAAGAACTTTTCATAATATTCGGCAGTAACTATATTTATATATAAAATGCAAATCTTCGGTTTATTTGCAATTAAAATATTGAGCAATTCAAAATAAATCTTTGATTTAGTTGATATTTTTTTTTTGTGTAGAGTCGTAGGTATTTTTCGACAAAACATTTTTGTGGTTGCTCAGGTGTAACGTAATAAGTCATAGGTCAGTAGCGGATCTAGGATTTGGTTGAGGTCGGGGGTAGAAAAACCAATTTTATATACCCTTGCAGAGGGTATTATTATTTCACTTAGAAGTGCGACGTAGTGATGGAGACATTTTCCACCCTTTAAAGTATATATATTCTAGATCAGCATCATTAGGATAGTCGATCTAGCCATGCTCGTTTATCCGTTCCTCTGCCCGTTTCTACCTAAACTAGTCTCTCAGTTTTAAAGCTGTCTACGAATTCTTGCAGTCAGATAATAATAATAAGCCATTACCCAGTCCATGATTAAATTCAGTTTTAATTTATCTGTAAGCTTTCTTGTTTTTGTTTTTTTTTGTATTCATAACAATATAAAAACTAAAAAAAAAACTAAAGTGTAAAATATTATTGTATTCATGGCTAAGAATTTAAGAGGGTCTGATCCAATAAGCTTAAAGTATTTTAACTGAGCAGATAATAGCATTCGGATAATAATCCAAATTTGAACCCAGCTTGGCAACTACAATAGTCTAGAAAGTATTTTTTGAGGATAATAGGAACATTGAGTGCAAGCAAATGGCTAAGCGTTTGTAAGGGCTGGTGGATCTTGGGAAATATCAACTCATTCGCTATGTATACCCTGATTTAGCCCTTGAGTGAACGTTCCGACCTTTTCAGTGTGGGCCAAATTTCGTTTTGAACACTTTTGTGGTTAGACATATGTGTTATATTGGCACAACTTTGCTTGATAAATTGAAATTAATTATTAAGAACTAAGTAGATGCAGAGCAAGCAGGGTCAAGTGGACATATACCTTTATTTGAGTAATAAAAACACACTCTTTTATTGTAATCTAATATAATATTTTATTTTTTTTGTATTGAAAATAAAACGCCTTAACAAAATAATGCTAATTACTTTATGTGGCCATCGGCTCATACATAATTAAGATTTTTAATATTGCTTCGTTTTAAGCCATTCTATGTATTTAAATATTTAATAGATAAAGCTAGTGTGTAAGTGATTAACGTTAAGAACAAATTGCACATTTAGTAATATAAGATAACCCGGCACATTCCTTTACCGATACATCATTTGAATGGCGCAGAAGAACTTATAAGACACTTGCAAGAACTGGAAAGGAGTAAAGTTGAATGGATTTAAGATGCTAAAGGTGTCGGTATCTTACAATGCTCATAGTCTGAATAGACACTCCAAAGAAAACGGTGGCTTTTAGACAGACGGGTTTCTGCGCTCGCATAGACAAAAAAATAAGCATTTTTCGGAATCGGGGTTTCGCTTCCATCCAATTCATATCGTAGATAGCAAAGCCAACATTATTACTCTGCAAAAATCATATTGGATAAGTGAAGATTAAGTTGAAACACACATAACGTACCGCGTCGATCAGCATCTGGCTAAAGAAGCAGACGAGGTAGATTTCCACAAGAGCCGATGTTATAATTAAGACCTGCTCCAAGCTGAAGCCCATAGTCAACTGAAATCCCACATTGCAGACGAGCAGCGAGGAGTTAAGAAAGTTCAACAGCAATGGAATTCCAAAGACATCGTTCATGGCGCTCACAAGTCTGGAAGATATTGGTGTTCAAAGTTCCTGAGCTTACTGACCCTAGTATTTGAATGTGGTATGCGATCAGAGAACTTAATTCCTTCAGAGCTTTGTCAGATCCCCTACCATCGCGATGTCTCTGAGTGTTGAATTCCCTGAGATCCCTGGCCAATTTGTCAAAGTGCATGATAGCCTGCAGTGCAACGGCGAACATCATGAGATCGGTGGATATATATCCGCAAGTGGCCGAGTAGGCAGCGATGCACTGGAGTAAATAGGTCGGATAGAATCTCCAGGTGTCGCGCCAATCCCAAGGCGCCATGGACACAAATGGCAGCGTTTGCATGGGGTTCGGCAAGTGGAGCCACCAACGTTGGATGGCGTATTGTGCAAAGGGGCTAAGGCTTGTGTTAATGGCCATCACCACCAAAAGAAACCCAAATCCCTTCGATACGAGGATGCACCGTTTCAGATGGCGCCTCACGCCGAAAAGCTCCTGCTCTTTTTCGTTTGGTGGCGGAAACAAGGACTTTAAGCGATGCACCAGACTGGTCATCCCCTGCCTGTAAGTTTTAACAGCAAAGATCTTTAGGATGCCGACGTTGCCAAAAGTGATGTAGCCCACCACCATGCAAGTTCCAAGGAAATCATTGATATTGTTGGTTCGCACCGAGTTCACCACAAACACTATCGAAGATCCCCAAACAAAGAACAGGTTGGTTATGTGGAACGCGAAATATATATGGAGTCCGAGACCGGGTTTGTTGTCCGATTCATAGGGATCCACACCCACAGAATGAAAGAAGACCACGGCTGGCCTCAGGAAGTCCTCTACGACAGGATATCCGGTGTTCGGCTTCCTTTGATACTTGGTCCTTACAGCCAAAATATTCTCCTTAATAAAATTAGCCATCGCAGCGAATTGATTCGACCTTACAATTTGTTATAATGACAAATTTGTATGACTTATATAGTCCACTCGAGTTGCTTAAACCGCAAGGTTTCTCTTCAAAAATGCAGCTAGTCGAAGGACTCATACTAGACAAAACAACAAACAAACACACTAAAAAAATTAAGTTACAAGAGCTAATTCCTTTTTAAGTTTATTTTATTATTTTACGATTTTACATGCAAATCTTTGGGATAGAGACTTTGTTTGTTTTTTCGCAGTGTAGCTGAAAATCAATGTGAATTGCTTGCGGTAAGCCAATTAAGGCTTTTTTGGTACAGCAATAAAAAAAAAGGAAACGTATTAAGAAAGAGTTTCGAAAAAAACCAAGAAACACTTGACCTCGAGCTGACAAACATAAGAATAACAAATAGAAAGGTCGCCAAAAAAATAAAGGAACTGCACTTTGGTAAAAAACTACAACATAGTTCGTCGGTTGCCTGAACACCTCTCCACCTCTTTTCCAAATTAATGAATATCACAAATAATAATAAATACCGTTTATAATGCTCAGATCTTTATTTAACTTTGGTTACTTTCTGGCTTTTAGCACTTTCAGACTTAATTGGCAGTTAGTAATTTAGCTGACTGGGTTTTTAGACAACCTCAATGGGAGCCACGGGTAGGTCTCCACTGACCAGCTCCTTGACCAAATTGCGACCCCAGTTGATGCTCACATCGGCGCAGTTCTTGAAGGTCTCCTGGGGACCACATCCCAAGGCTCCGTTGCCGGAGTTATCGCAAATGCCCCAGTTGTTGGCTGGAATATATTTAAAACTCGATTAACTACTGAAGCACGAGTTTATTGTTAAAATACTTACCACCCACATAGGTCCATCGGATAACGCAGTGACTGCAGGTAACTCCCTCTGGCAGCAAAACTGTCACATCGAATTCTCCAGCCTGGCTACCAATTTGCAATCTATCGCTGCCATCGGGAAAACGCAGGCGGTGCTGGTCGAAGCACTCCTCCGATTCGCCGCCGTAGACATCCAGATTGCACAGATGGAACTCGAAGTGGCCCAAGTGGTTGGTGGTGATCTTTACACCCACGGTGATAGCATGGCCAGCCGCGTAGCTCCTGGTCACCACGCCTGCTCCGCCGATACTACCTCCGATCTCGTTGGCACGGGGCTGGCCATCCAAGAAGTTGTCGCCGCACAGGCCACAACGACCTCCGTTGTTCGATTGGGTCTATGGATTTAAAATTTGGTAATTTATTTAACATGCATAGGAGCTTTTATAATGTTCGTTATGGTAAATCGAGATAATATTATAGCAATTTTGCTGAAAGTATAATATACATATATATAATATATATATATATATATATATATATATATATATATTTTAGTTTTAACAAGGATCCTATAATCTTAGCTAAATAATTTAGCAGATGTGTCTTGTGTGGGCTAGAGTTGATTAATTTATAAAATGAATAAAAGTAAACTGAAAAAGGTTAGGAAAGCTACCTATTTAAAAAGAAACCTTAGCTTTTTTAGCATAAGTATCTAATTTTTACAATTGATTTCTGGCAATCCATATCCATTCTTTTACAACATAAACTTTTGTGGGGATGGTCAATGTAGAAGAAGCTTCCCATTCTGGAGATCCGTAACTCACATACAAGCCGCCGCAGAATAGTTCGTTGTCGTTCCAGTTTTGAGGAGCGGATCCGTCGTAACGCCAGCGGGAGGAGCGACTGGGCGGGGACAGCATCATTCCGTGGGCATCGATCTGCTGCAGACCAATGGCCAACAACAAGGTCACGCTGAGCAGGTACTTCATGGCGTATATTTGGCTTTCACTTTCACAATGCCACCCGCATGGACGCCCACGGTTTTATATGCGCTCCTTTCCGACTTATCACTCCGATTTGGATCGAGAGTTTTACAGTAGCTCTCATGGCGATAACCAGGAGTGATAACACGCAGTATAAATAATAACAACTGCAGTTCCTCGTACCGGTCAAAATCCGCAGAATCAGCACTCCAGATAGGCCCACGGATAAGCATCTTTCGATTGGCATAGTGAAATATTCATAAAATTGTCGGTCGTAAGGAATGCCACTTACAATAAGTAGGAAGAGATATTGTTAATTCCCTAATCACATTCGTGCAATCTGGAGTTCGTTTATTGGATTAAGAATTCTCAAGTATTGCCCATTGATTGTTTGTTTTGGGTTAACTTCTTATCGTTCGGTGATTGCCTTTATACCTGGGCATGTATATATAAAGGTTTTATTTTTTATTTCTAAATATAAAACTGATGTTATACCAACCAATTTCATTTTACTTCACTACGAACTTATTAACTTGTCAAAAAACAGCAGCGCGGTTAAAGGAAATATTTTCATAGTTTGGACAGAGTTCAGTTTTCCGCGAAATCAACACATTTTTAAAAAAGGTTATGCATTTATTCCCTTTAAATGAAACTTTATTCATTAATAAAACTAGACAATTTCTAATTTTGATAAGATATTTCAAAATTTAATAAAAAGTCGATAGTTTTACTTTTCATTGAAAAATCAGCAATATTGTATTTACTTATAGTTACACACACACGAATAAAATCTGTTATTTTTTTATATATTTAAATAAAAAAAATTGGTACTAGTGAACAGATATTAAAATAGACAGACAACAAAAATGATCAAAAACAAAATTTAAAAACCCTACTCCCACCCTAAGCTTTGAGTTGACAATGACATTTACTTTGCGCAACCCTGGTTGAGCTGAACTGCATCCCTGGTAAACCGCATCCAGGGCTGGGCAACAAAACAGCTGGCGCCACGCTTGTTAAAGTCCTCCCCAAAACAAACGAAGTAAAAGAAGAACGAAAAGCTTGTTTAGCTTTTACATTTCCAGCGTCTTGGCAGCGTCATGAAAATAATCCGCCGCCTGTTTTGTGGGTGGGATGGTTTGGGGGGGTGGTGACGTCGGCAGCAGCGGTGGTGGATGAGCTCATACGAAAGCGAAAAGAAACAAGTTTAGCTTTTTTGAATACGGACGACTGCAGCTTCAGTTTCAATTGAACGCGAATCGCCAGCGACGCCGGACCGTGCCAGCAAGAGCGAGAGCGGACAAGTGAAAAAGAGAGAAAGAGAGCCGCGAAACGAAAAACGAAAACGAAAATTGAAAATCGAAAAAAGTGTGTGACAAGTGTGAGTGTGTGTGTTAGAATTGTACTAGCTTGGTCTTTAGTATTGGCGTTATTGCTAGTAGCAGTGACTTCTTTGCCACTAATTGGTACCGACAAAAATAAAAAAAGGCTCTAGAGAGCGTGTTACGTGGCTTTTTTTTCAAACTCACATTTCATGCTGACCAGCTGAGCTGCTGGATACGCTTCTAGTAACACGCACACACATAGTTTCGAACTGCACTACTAAATGTTAAATTAAATTTATTTTTCGATTGAACCAAATAGCCCCAAAGACTGCAAAGAATCCCAAAATTGTAGTGCAAAAAAACGAAAGGGGCTCAAGCTCTTGAGCGGCTAAAACAAAATCAATAATTGGCCTGCGTCCGGCCCTTAGTGTGTGTGTGTGAAAGAGTGGGGGAGTTTGTACGTGTATTCGTGAAAACGACAATTAGAGCAATGCCTGCTGATTGAAAGAATAAAAGGGGGTAACAAATAAAGAAGAACCACAAAAGAAAAGAATTTTAATTTAGTGCAATAATTGAGTGATCAAAAGCCATGCAGCCCGCAACGCCCGGTACGCCCAGTAGTAATGCTCCATTAACGATCAATTCATCGAACACCCCTGCTGTCCCAGCCCCCGCTCCTGGCGCCAGCGGGGGGGCCAGCAGCACCCCCATACGCATAAACAGTGCTAAATCGCATGCAGGTGGAGGGGATACTCTTGCCCCCTCCACCCCCCACTCGCACTCCACTCCTGGAACACCGCAACAGCAACAACAATCGAGCAGTGTGCCCACCGGCGGTCACCTGCTGCAACTGCAGGCGCCCCTGCCCTCGGCTGGGGGCGGTGGCGGTGGTGGAGGCGCCCTGACCCCCTCTGGACTTTCCATGGGTGCATCGAATCAATCGCTGGGTGTTAGTGTTGGAGCCGCCAGCAGCGTCAGCGGGATCAGTATAACGCCACCAAATAGCGCGGGACTGCGTCAATCGACAGGTGAGTTTGGCCCCTTGAATCCCCCCTTTTACCCGCCCATCTCGTTGTCGTTCTCCTTCTCACTCTCTCAATGTCACTCACACTCTCTGTCCCGCTCTTCCACACTTTGCGATACGATCACTCACAATCGAATCTAATGCAAACGACTATCACCAGAACACAAACACTCACACAATTACGGTCAAAAAAAATAGCACAAAAGAACTCATTCATAATCGGTCAAATCAAGTACATTTTGCTGATTAATGAGTCGAATTTCCCCATAAGAGTTTTAAACTTAGATGTCTTACCATTTGCTATTTTTCTGCTTATGTTTGATATTGTTTCGCTGAAGTACGTCTAGAAAAAAAAAGTGAATTTCTAGATCTGAACTGAATTTGAACAGTTAATCTACAGAGCTTTTTCTAACACACAGTACAAATTTTTAGCCATTTTTATCTTATCTAATCTTGTATTAACTGAAGCATCATTCAATAAAGATACAAGCAATCAATGAATTGATTTATTCAGTTAGAATAAATATAATATATAATATCAGCAAACAAAGAAAGTATGTAGTTTTTATCAATTCTATAAGGCTATAAAAAAAATAAATTAAAAGATAAACACATTCTGATTAAGAGTTTTGTAGAGCTTTTGGTTTGACCGCATTTGTTCATTCGATCTGATTGTCTACTTCTGGTTTTCAGTTTTGATTTTCGTTTCCGTGTACTGTGTACTGTGTGCTTTGCTTGTTTTGATTTTGCTGCTGCTCACATTTCAAAATTCCTGTTCATTCATCAGCCGCTTGCCGGCTTATCCGTACCCCCATCCATCCGTAATCCCACTCGATCCCAGGGGCCACGCTATCGCTTAACACTCAGCTTTTGTTCGTCATTTAGCGCGCTTCCGCTCTGCGGACCCATTCATTCATGCGAGATTTAGTCGCTAGTGCTAATTGATTTACATACCAGTTGTTTGACTCTTTTGTCAGACTGGTTTGTTGCTAGGCTACTTGTTAGTCTGTATATTTTGGGGTGGCTTTTTGGGGCTATGTGAATGTCAATTTGGTTAACTGGCGCTTGCCATTTGCACCTGTGCGGAAACCCACGGCCAAGGTTTGTCAATTTCCATGTTTTACCAGTTGGGTCCTAGGTAATAGATCCCAAGGGGCGATGTTCATCTGCCAGTCCGTATCACTTAGCAGAGTAATTAAGTTCTTTGTGCCGATTATTGGAATAATTAAGTTAGCCCGCATTTGTTGGCAATCATAGGGAAATAACAGAATTTTCCCTAGAATTGATATAAGCGTATTTCGTTGAAATTTAGTAGTTTCCGAAATTTTTTGATAAAATTCCTTAAATATTATCAACCCATAGGGATGACATCACGTACTTTTAGCTCAGGAATTATTTTAGATATTCCCTTCACTTTCCAAGCGATTGCTTATGTCAAAAAAGGCAATATGCGACGTTGTGTCAGGCATTTAATTAAGTTTACTCGTTCTAACATGAGATCATACTTATGATGTTAAAATTAACGCTATGGCTAAACGTATCCTACGGTGTAGTGTAAGGCCTCACTAAACAATAGTATTTATTTTTGCTTTAAAATGACTTCTAATAAAGCAAACCAACATTTACACATGCAATCTAAATTAAGAAAGTTCCTAGCTTTTTAGTTGTTAGATAACGCTAGACATCAATTATTTCTGAGAAACTCTATTCATTTTTATCGATTTGCATATGAGTATTTTACTATGACTAAGTTCTCAGTAGCTCGGTTAAATTTTTAAGTAATTAAAGCTTTTGTGGCCTGTTAAATGTACCTGCAATTAGTGCGTTTTTAGTCGTTAGCTAAAATTTGTTCAAGTTGTCAATTTCATATTTTATGCGATTTATCGATTGGCATTCGAATTTTGGTTTTTATCGACCGGGACATGGGTACACTGTTAGTTGGGGGTTGCGATGGCTAGGTGGGTTACCTGGTAACAACATCGGTCTATGGGATTTTGCACACGCACCATTTGCTTTGATGTCATTGTGGTTGTTTACTGTTGTTTATTGCGTGCAACTGTCATTAATTTTTTCCGCATGCTGTATTACTTTATAGCCCAAATATATATACATATCTGAAAACTATCTCCAAACATACATTTAAAAATTGGTGTAAATAAGGGTGGACCTTTATGTGTTTAGACTATATAAAATCAAGGTTAAGGTTAAAGGTTTAAGCATTGGTTAAATAAACTTACTTGACGGTTCTTTTATCAAACCATAATTTGTTAATCCCTAGCAACTAGTATTTGTTGCTCTGACACCCACTTTATTATAAAGTTTTGCCCGCCGCTAGCTTATTTACTTTCTTTGTTAGGTATTTTAAGTTTCTCGTACACCCAAGGTCCACCCTACTGCACCCTAAATTGCATATATACGCAATTAGCTGACACAAGCACTCACACTTTTACCCACCTTCCAGTCCAACGCGACTTTATAATTACTATTGTAGTCGCCTCGTCTTTTGCTGTTTATTTTTGTTGTCCGGGGCGGTTGGCACAGTGGGCGCGATTAAACAGTATCCGCATGGAAAGGTGTGCGAAAAACCGTATGTCATAAATGTTTGGAAGAACGAACACCTGCCAAACAGGTAAAAACCCCACCACCCTACTCAACTATTCCGCTCTAGGTATTCTATGGCACATTGAATTGTTA